AGATATGACCACGCTACAATGTTGTCACATGGAACTGGCGACTTTGCGTTGTTTTTCAAAAAAAAATGTGAGCAGTATCGTGTATGACCAGATAAAAGAATCACAACACTTTTATTTCTCAGCTGCGAAAACTTATAGCGTTAATGAATGCTTTTTTTCACTTTGAAGGCAAGTAAAAAAGGCAGAATCTTGTTGTGATGGACAGATTCCATGGCCTAACTTAGCAACACTATTCCTATGCAACTAAATTTTAGATTTTTGTGAGCAGTGTTTTCAACTTGTAATTGCGCAATGAATAAGATAAAAGAGAGCATAGCAATCGTAAAGCTAAAGTTGAACACAAAACAAACCGAAGCGAATGAGCGCACAATCAAAAATCATCGATTGGCTTTCTACCAATTGTTTATTTCAGGAAGGTTGGCAATGGTGCTATTGTATTACAAAAGCTGCTTTACGTCCTCTGTTGTGAAGTGAACTGATTTTTCAAGGCAACTAGGGGAGGCGGCGGAGTGATATCGCTTGGTAAACATCTTGATATCAAAGCAAACAACTCTAATTCCGTCTACTCGCTCGCAAAAGCATGGGAAAATTATCAAACGAAGTAGCTGATGAGAGGGAATTGTGAGAGCCATTTGTCATGGCAAATGCAACCAAGAAAATGCTTTGGAAGAGTTTAAATAACAGCGAGTTTTTGTGGGAAAAGGCGAAGAAAGTGATTATCTACAGCATCTTTTCATGTCAGCCTTGATGGATCACCTTCGCTTGGCATGTACTTGGTACACAATCTCAGCTCAGATCGTCTGCAAATCGAAGAGAAAACTCGTTTGGAGCAGTAAGGTAAACTTAGTTCTTTAAGGGTGAAACCAGGGCTTGGCACAGGAGACTTATAAGGAAGTTGGATATCGTTTTTGAGGCAAAAAGCCAAGGGGTTATCGTTTTTGTGGTCAAAAAACACAACGAAACACAACTTAGGTTACGTTCTCTTACTCGACGTTTCGTTTTTTGAGGTTTTTTTACGTTTCTGGTTTAGGGTCAAAGGGACTTCCTAAAATACTGCGAAACTCAAGGGGATTTCGTTTTTTGCATTTTCGGAAAGCCACCTCATGCCGAGCCCTGTGAAGAGGAAAGCTTCAATATTAGTGGTCGCTATAAAATCCAGTCTAGATCCACTTTTTAACGGACAACAAGTCTCGAACTAGAGTAACTCAAAAAAGACTAGATTAGTCCGGTGGAGCACTGCTTTTTCCTTTTGGGTAAGTTCAAAAAAATTCTCATCAGCCCAGATAAATGCAGAAATTTGCAGAGGTTCATTTTTATTTCAATTTTCGTCACATTCAGCCAAAGAACACAGATATTCGATAGGGTAAAAGCTACTCCTTGAAAACTCTTGAGATGAATTCTCTTTTCAAGATTTGATTAATGATTATTTCGAGAAAATTTCCGAGAAAAAAGAGAAAATCCCTATTTTGATTTTCGGCTAAAAGTGATTTATAGCAGCTGGAAAAATTGCGATTTGCCACCCTTTTCATGGATTCTGAAGTGGTTTTTCTGCAAATCATGTGTAGTTTTCCACAGCTTTGCTACATTAAGACCTAAATTACGCGACGATCTGAGTGGTCAAGTTCGAGGATATTCTTGAAAATTGGGTTTGATTGTAGTCTTTGAAAAGCATCTATAGCTTTGGCATGTTAATCTTTTTCATTCATGTGGAAAGTCATGAAACGGAGAAAAAAAAATGCACTTTGGAGCATGCTGAAAAGGGTCAGTGCCAATATTTCTTAACAAGGACTAGGAATGCAAGAGGAATGAAACATATGCTTGCATATATTTTTTTGTTTTAGTTACACTATCGCATACATTACGTGACCTACCAGACTAATGATAAGTTATCTCAAATACCAAGTTTTGAAATATTGTTAATCATAATTCTAGGATTATCTGTACGTATACAAAGCATAATTAACTTCTCTGGGTGGGTAGCCATGACCACCTTGAGATAACATCGAGTTGTTTACAAACACTCTTTTCACAATCAGTTGTATGCTTTCACAATTTGCAGCCTTTGAAGGCGCTCTTATGAGCGTAGCGCAGGATTTGAAAAGCCAATAACTAAAAAAATATGAAAACAGGACAAAATAGTTTATACTTTGACAACATGCTCAAGATTATATCTATTAGAGGTTTGTGTTTGAAGCTTTATGTACAGAGCATTCGCAATGATTCTATTAGGTCGTTCCGAAAGTAATGTCGCTTTTTCCAAATGAACGCCACATTTCTGGAGTCAAGTTTTTCAGGGGATCTTAGGAGCATTCGATGCATTTTATCCACTTTCTAATGGTTGCAATTTCATTCCAAAATGTCTAATGAGCTCTCGAAAAATTACCAAATCCTGCGACTCATGCTTCTTGTCATGGTAGAACTCGGCTATTTTTCTAAATTTTTGCACCTATTTTGAAGAAGTGTAAGCGACAGATAGATAAAGCAAATCCTATAGGACACAGAGCAATTTTTTTTCTTTTGCTTAGCTGGCTTCTTAGAGTTTCTAAAACCAATTTTTCAATGCCATCAAATTCCATATTTGGTCAACTCAAACCTCAACAATAATCGGCAAGCAACTCGGGTGTCATTCGACGCAGCTTTTTCTCCTCTTTTTACCAGTTGTTGTTTGTTTCCGATTCATCAAGTTTTCCGGGATAAAATCATCATAATTCAGGTTTCCAGGGCGCCCCAGGCTGTACACGGAATTTTCGAAAGTTGTTAATCTGAAGCGGTCAATACTCATTTGGTTTGTAAAATTAGTGTCAAACCATAAACCATCTTTGTAAGTTTCAAAATGCGAAAATTTATTGGTGTTTGATGCATTTGTGTCTGAGACAAGTCTACTAATCGGTGGTTCCATCAAAAAGTCTGTAAAAAATCATGACAAGCTCTGGAAAGTAGAATCAAGTTGTGCTGTTTCCTGTAGGGTTTGCTCTATCCATTCATCACTTGGACTCCTTCCGAGGATTGTTATAAAAATTTAGAAAAATTGTGAAACTTGGCCTCTCAAAAAGCATGGGTCGCAGATTTTGATAATTTTTTGGAAGGTTATTGATTTTTGTGCAGTTTTATATAACAATTAGAAAGAGAATGAAATGCTGCATCGAATGCTACCAGAACCTCTTACAAATTTTTGTTCCACGAGATGTGGCGTTCGTTTGAAAAAAGCGACATTACTTTCGGAACAACCTAATATATACGACTTACGAAATTTTGATAGTGGCCTTTTTTTCGCTTTTAAACAATAGGAATATTTCCTGAATTTCTGTGAAAAATCAAAATGAGATCTGTGAAAAAAAAACCTGCTCTTGATGTCGCCTTTTTTCAAATTTTGCAGATAATCCCAAATTTTGACGCATCCGGAAAACTATCCAAAGGGGACCAATATAACTCCCTTAAGAAAAAATTGAAAAAAATTTGAGAAAAAATCTCTTTTCCATCATCGATCCCCCATCCCCATCCCAGTCTACACTGCCTTCCCCACTAGGGACCTTTTTGATGGATTTCGAAACAGTGAGTATCATTTGTTGGAAAAACATTTTCAAATGTAATGAGCAAATTTCCATAGGTATGTTAATGCTGCGTTTATGTTTCGCCGTTTTGATAGCTGTGCATTGTCAGCATTATCCTACTCCTCCCCTGTACCTGCTCCATTACTTTTTTAACGTTATGTATGAGTATCGACCCCACGCTCCCGTGTTTTTCCATAAAATGTTTGGGGAGAGGCATTTCTTTGAAAAAAATTGAATTTGTCGCCCAAGTCCCTATATCGCATGTGCATGTGAAGTAAAATAAAAAGAATGAGCAAAAATTCAAACGTCAGCGAAATCCTTTTGAGAATATCTAGATGATTCAATTACAAGCAAAAACCATGAGCTTATTGGAAGAAATGTTGCAAAATGAAACGATAAGATGAAAGTCACAACAAAAGTACAGCTGCCAAGGGGTAGATATGTTTTATCTGAAGCTACTGTTATCACGAATGAAACAAAGCGATGCAGTGAGGAAGCTTTTCTACGGTAAAAATGCTGTTAAAAAATTGCATATTTCTTATGCTGGAAATTTTCATAGTTCAACTTTCCCTAATTCCCGAGTCTGGATTTTTCAAATATTTAACTTTTGAGAAATAGCAGATAGTGAATAAATCAGTAGGATTTATCAATCTTTCTATCAAGATGTACTGATGATGTTTACAAGAGATACAACAAACAGCCGTGCAAGTTTACGTTGAAACTTTTTTCTAGAAGTTTTGTTTTAATTTGCATTTGTAGGAAAAACCTCTCCCTATCATTGTGCATTTCAATTTTGCACGTTTGTAAAGTCTTTGAAGAAAAGTCACAAAGAATTCGGGATTGGATCTCTTGTCTTTCAAAGCACAGTATTTTTTGCGAGATTGAAAACTATGCAAAATAACGGAAAAAAGGGCTTTTAGATGCTCTGCAAATTTTTCTGAAACGAATTTTTTTTATTTTCTTAACGGGCATTTCAATACATAGGGAGTGAAAGTTATATCAGTTGTGTTTGAGCCTCATAAATAATCAAGGAAACCACAAATAAACCTGATTTTCGCTGATTTGATGTTTTCAGGTTTGATGAGCACGACAATACAAAAAGCGCGTAAAAATTTGAATTGCAAGTACTTCAGGCCAGATTTCCAAACACTTTTTATGCACCTTATAATAGTTCATCCGCTAGTCGCTGTTCTCGAGATTCGGCATTTATCCATAATAAGATGGAGCAAACAATTTAGGGAAGTAAATAATAAGTGCACGAAAACCGGCTGAGCTTAAAAAAAGAATTAGATCCGTTTGCTGCTTTTGCAAATCGCTGTGGCTCCGATCGCTGTTCGTAGCGATCGATAATGCGGGAGCCACGCTGAATAGGTGCGATTGAGTCGTTTGTGAGCAAGCGAGTGTGCTGCCAAGGTGCTTGGGTGTTCTCAAACATAACCATCTTCAAAATGCATTTATTAGAGAAAGATCCATTTAAAAGTGTTCTGAGGGGAATGCTTAAGGTAGTTTGAGGTAGTGGTTCGGGTTTATTTACTGACGAGTGTATTCTCGATGACATACAACGTTGCCGGATTCGAGCGTTGTGTAGAGACGATCGCCCTCGACCCAGCGTGTAATCGTCGATGGCTTGTCACCAGACTGTAAACATTAGCGTTGTTTTGAAAAAAAATGATACAGTTTTCACATGCTCAAGTCATTTGCAGCTCAATATGTGAGACTGCACACTATGCGAGGTAACCGACGACACCCTTACTAGTACAGAGCGTTCGAAACATTGTGGCGATGGCACGACGCGCGCGACACGCATGCACTTCTTTTTCTGCTTACTTATAATAGTATTTGGACACTGGAGGTGAAAAAGCTGAGCATTGAGGCGATGCCTTTTTGTATGAGTGTTTCCTGCTCCTGTATGCGCACAGACCGCGGTCATCCGTCTTCACGATTTCAAAAATGGCCTATAAATTCCCTCATAAAACTTCTCTAGTGTAACAATACTGTTACTTAATACGCGTCCATTTACACCAAAAGAAAGAAGAAAACAATAAGAAATTACTGGAATAAGCAGAGTTCAATCTTACCAGTCGTCCAGTAGCGCGCATGGTGTGCAAGTGCATATTAAATTACAAACGACTCGAATACATGCGCTCATAGCTATTTTTTTAATTTTTGCACGCATAAATATAGCCGGTGAATTTCTCATCCAAAAGCTGCTAGTACACTCGAAAATAAAAGATTTTGTTACGATATGCACAGTAACGTCTTTGCTTTCGTACATTTTATTCAGGATAAAAATCAGTTTATTCGTTCGGAATTGTACTTCCACACTAAGCGCAGGAAATAGCAACTGCACAGATAAGTTTTTTTTACAAACTCAGAAGAACTCGGCTAATTCTACTATCATCCCAATCAAATTTGAAATCAAAGTTAGGCTATTGTTACCGAAATTATTTTTGACGTAAAATCTAGAATGTGAGAAAAGTGTCATCTGCTAATCAGTGATTCTACTGGATAAAAGAGGATACTGTATTTGGCTTGATTCTTGAATGGATGATGAGTTTCTCTCATTGAATTCTATAAGACACTTTTTCTTGCGTCATACGCTATCTTACGAAAAATCTACATCTCACTTTTTTCCGTGCTCTAGTTCTGCAGAGTAGAAAAAACTTACCTTGATTGGAGTTTGCTTCTGAACTAGTTTTCCATCAACTAGGTCGACTTTGGTCTTGAACTTTCGGCCATCAGGGGTGGTCTCTTCGAATTCCTCAAAGTTATACATGCTTATCAGGTTCAAAATTGGAATCATTGAACTTACCTCTCCCAAAACAAACTCTAGAGTGGAATTTTTGAAAGTTGACATTTGGTTGAGGATGTATTTGTTTCCCTGAATCATCAATTCATAATATAGACTAATGTTAAACTGCAAAGGTAGAATTTATTTGCTTACCTCCTTTTTGTAGTCGAGATTTACTTTAAGATGAGCTGCAGCAGTTCTAGTAATGAGGCCGACACCAACTTCCTAAAAAAGGGAAAATTGCAGGACAAAATTTTGTCTGAGATTTGCCGCCATTGATGCTCCTTTCGCAGGTTTAGCTCACCTTCATGTACTCATCGAAGTTTTCGCTTTTGTCCAAAACCCATTTTCCTTCGATGCTCATTTTTCTGAAAAAATATCATAGGAAAATGAACCTGTCACTGTTTGAAAAAGAGCAAAGTGTTTGATAGAGAAAGAGTTCTCTGATATGAGTATGGCTAAGAGGTCAAGCAATGACTGTTTCTTTCTAGATCTTTGGCGATACAGACTTGGTCGGCCTATTTATTACAAGGCCAGCGATTGTATAATGTCGGGGTCGGAGCTCGGACTAGGAGTTTTTGCATCTGAACAAATGATGTGCCATATACCATCCATATTTGCCAAAGCAGGATCTCAAAAGTTAGAGGGAGGGATGAATGGAGGGGGAGAGGGGACTCACAAATGATGAGCACACACAAAAAACCGTAATGACCGCAATGATACCACTATCGTGGCCCTTTTATACCATTTGCGAAAACAGTGCATCCAGCATACGTTATCAATGTAGAGTCCACTTTGTTCTGCGTAAGCCCCCGAGAGACTTGGGCGAAAAAGCGGAGTTAGGGTAGATAAGATCACTCCATTCTTGCGGCAAGTCAAAGAATGGGGCAATAAAGGGTCGACGCGAACCTGATAAGCTTTCAAAATCAACTCGATACACACAAAATACGCACGAAAATGTTTGCTACAGTCTACTTAATGATCTCTCTTATCGCTTTGATAATATTAGGTTGATTCATGATTAATGCATTTCTTCTACAATTCAACTTTGAACAACGTCTGTTTAGAAAAAAACCTTTTTGACGGCAGTAAAAACCTCTGTAAACAGCGTAGCTTAAAACTTCGAACTACAGAGAGATTTCTACAGAACACATACTTTGGTATGAGTATAGATTATAACCCAGAAGATTTTAAAGCTTGAAGATTGTTGATAATTTTTCTGAAATTTCTACTCTGAGAGAGCAATTTACTCCGAAAAGCATTAGGTTGACGCACATACTTATAGTGTAGCCAAGGTCCGTTGAGCAGTAATGCCAAGCTTGGATCTTCTTTTGAGAGAAAGAAAAAATATTGTAAAAAAGATGAAAGTACTCACTTTTTTCGGTATTTCGTCTGGTTTAAAAAAACTGCCTGTTTTAAAATTATCGATTTTATTTCGCTAAAAAATGAGAAAAGCTTATCATTTCCATAGCACTACATGAACTAGGTCTACCTGTGCTGTATGCAGCAATAGCCTTTTGCTTAGGTTTTTTATACGGCACGAAAGGGCGCCAACAACCATCAGTTTGCAATAAAAATTTCTTGGCTCACAGTTTTTCAACAAAAAATTTCGTTCTAATAAGGGTTTTGTAGCGCAAAGCTTCATAAACGTTATGCATATTTTGTGAAATTAATTCGGCCATTTTTATGAATTTAGATCAAGTTAAATGAAAGACTTTCGAAAATTAATCCCTTTTGTTTGAAGGCATAACAACTTCGGACAGAGACTTACGAAAGCGAAGGCATGCATAAGAAAAACTAGAAGGAAATCTCTTTCAAACAATATAAAAAATTCTTGAGGTTTTTCTTCGGTAATCAACGCTTGAAAAAAAGGTCAAGGAAACGTGCATTAATTATGACAACTCGATATTTCCTGTGAGACTTAGAATATAATATTACAAACAAATACAGACACATAGGCAGTGTGGAAGATACTATAGCAGTAGATTAATAGGGATTAGAAGATTGCAGGCAAGCTTACAGGCTAAGCTACCATCACAAAACGAGATGTAGCCCCTTTGCTACTTCTACTATAACCGGTCTGACGCTGACAAAGGAAGGGTGGCCGGTCAAAGTGGCTTTTTGTAATAGAGTGTATACCATCTTGAAGGGCATAAAACGCTGATTTCAAATCTGACTTTCGTATCTGCGGAGCATTCATGGACGAGGAGTTATGGGCAGAATTGAGCAAGAGATCAGACAGGAGTTTTTTGAAAACGACTCCTCCCCCATAAACGCCCTCAAGCGACCCTTTCTCCCTCCTCTTGACTTCCGGAACCTCAGAGTCTAACATACTGGAGAACATCATTCTTTTATAGAGAGTTTTGAGATTTGTGACTGTACGCCCGATTTCCTGTGACTGCACTTTACAATCACACGTAAATGGCTGATTTTGATCCGAGTGGGCTTATTGAAAGGGCCTTAATTTTTCTAGCTATTGGGCGTTCGGCTCCAAACTTCCGATGCAGCAAGAAGAATTCATGAGCTCAGTACTCATGCCAGAAATGAAGCGATTTCTGGATTTTGAAGGCAAGTTAAAGGGGTCAGCGCAACCCCTCTAGCTCAGGCAGCCTAACTTTTTGAGGGTTGCACCTGAGCCGATTAACTTTATCATCGAAGGAGCTTTGCCATCTTCGTTCTGTATGATTCGCTGGCATAAACCTCGAAGATTCTACAATAGCTGTTTGACCTTACCTCGACTATTGGCTTTGTGGTGATCGGTGGAGTTGAAGCACTTAAGATAGAAAATGCGGTGACTAACATTTTGGCAGCACTTCTTTATCCATTAATTGGGAGCGATACGAAGTCCAGTTTCTACTATAGACTGATAAAGAGTCGTATAGATACAGAAGAACTGAGCTCTTACACTTTTATGAACAAGTTAATCATATTTGAAAATCATGCTTTTAAGATGTTAGGAAACACTAGAAAATGTAATAGATAATGGGTTGTAAAGCTCGTTGAGGTAATCTGGCATGCTGATTACTGAAGTCATACCCAACTTACATAAAAAGCTTCCTTGGTGACCTTACGGCATGTGTAAGGTAGAAGAATTGAAGTTTTGCTGAGACTTCGTTAGTGTTCAGTATGCTTTTCTCCTTCACCTACTCGATCGTAGTATTTCCTCACTTTTTTGAGCAAATTCGCTTACGACCCTCGCCTTGCTCTTGCCCCAATACGACCCCCGCGCCGGTCGGGCGCGTCTAACCTCACGCTCAACCCTGGTTATGAATGTTTGATGGAGCAAAAAACTTGATGCTTTTAGGATAAAATCAGTTGGTATAACTTTTCTACCGCTTAAAGAAGGCAGCGGAGTGTGGCGGTTTCATATAAAAGTATTTTTTGCATGAAGTGCTTTGATAATTATAATTATCATGTTCCATTTAAGCGCTAGGAGAAAGGGCACGATTATTTCTACCTTACTTCACCTTTGACTTTTTGTTCCAATAAACGCTCATAACTCCTCGTCCACTGATCCACAGATAAGAAAGACAGATTTGGAATCAGCGTTTTCCTCCAAGATGGTATGCATTCTATCTCAAAAGGCCTTTTCGAACAAACATCCTTCCCTCATGAGAACACTTTTCATGATAAAAGGCAGCTGTTTACAGTCGGATTACTAAACAGGGACTTCCACTAAACACCAATTTCTGCAGTCCGAGGATTTTCAATCAATACACTTAGTGGACGAACAGATATCTTTCATGGACAAACATCGTCAAAATTTATGATATTATGCACACAATCAAGCAAGTAACCGGTTTTTGTGTGAACACAGATTGACAATGTTACATTAGAGTTTACATTAGAGTTTTCAATCAAGTTAGCTCTGATTGATCTTAATGTTTTTTGAAGACCTTGGCAACGTGGTAGGCGTGGTGTTTCCTTATCAATCGATATCGATTTCATCGATTTTTTGCAAAGTTTAAGCTACGGGGCTAGGAGTTGGCAAGGAGGGGGGGGGGGAGGTAAGCGAATAGCTGATTACGAATTTATTGACAGGACCGGGCGAAGGCGTGCCAACTAGTACGTATATAAAGAGATGCTACATGGTATATTTTGATGATAAAAACGGCTGACTCCTCTGCACAGTGTAATTGCACAACAGACATGTAATGATGTGATAACCACAACTTTATGGCTGTTTCTTCTCTCTGCAGCTTGGATCATGCTTCCGTTTGATTTCATTCAGCTGCTTTGTTGTCACATTTGCCCATTGCAGCTGGTCACAGAGATCGACTCGTAGGACATCATTTACAAAGTTGCCTAAAGCAACTTGTTTTTTTTTTCTTGAAAAATTCTGAAAAATTAGTACATTGTCGAGGAATCTACCTCCGAGCACATATTTTCCTTCGATCGTATAATCTGCCCTGCAGTAGACGGGAGTCTGGATGATTGTGGGTGTTCTCTTTCTGATTCTTCCTTCAACTGATTTCTAAGCTACAATTATTTTGAAAGCAGAATAAACGGACATAATGTCCTGCTCACGTAGACATCAGAAGGTATCAAATAGTAAGTCACCAATCCACTGCGCGCGTTTTTGGCAGGAAAACTGTCTTTGATGATCGCTTTGAACACTGAAATGAGCCAAAAAAATATTATATATCTTCCGAATTGGCACTGTGAAAGGTTGAAGATCGAGTCTGTTCTGTATGGCGTTACAATCTCACCAAAACATGCAGCACTTCAGCTACAATAGAGCCCCTAATATGGCTGAAAAGAACGGATTCAGGCGCATTAGTCTTAGACGGAACAGTTGGAACTCGGTAACTCGGTTCAAAATGATTTTTCAAGATATCGGGAGTTTTTCTGGAAAGCCAAGGAGCCAATACAAGGAGCACCGTCAATCAAAGCATTCTCACTCATAAGATTTTCATTAGATTTTCACAACGAGATCGCAGCGAAACCGTGGCACCCTATTCCTGCCACATAGATTTTTCTCATTTTTAATTGTTGTTTCAACCAATCCCGGTCTACTTTCGTTTAAGAATTACAACCGAGTAGTAAAAAATTTCAATTCCTTTGAATTCTGAAGATGCGAGGTTTAATCGCCATTTTTTCATCGAGGTAATTTAAAACAAACGATGGTCTCAAATTCTTGTATCACCCAGTTACGGGGTCAACGGCTTCATCTTTCGATTTTTTCGCCGCGATGTAAATACCCTTTCGATGAAAGTAAATTTAGAACAAATGACGGTTTTTTGAATCTTTTGAATGTATCACTGGCTTCGAAAAACCAGTCCGATCTCGCGAAATTCATTTTGAACCAAGTTACGGGAACCCGGCGGTTCCATCAAAATTGATATGCCACAGCCCGTTTTTTTCACTCGA